CAGATCTCTTGGCTCCTGGAACTGCTCTAATGTGTAATTATGTGATTGCTCCTGGATATGTATCTGTGTAACTGGTTTAGTATTTTGGATTTGTTGTATGTTTTATGCTGCTGTCTTGGCCAGCTCACTCTTGGAAAAGAAGTTTTTAATCTCAATGAGATATTTTCCTGGTTAAATAAAGGATACATACATACATACAGGTGCTGGTCATAAAATGAGAATATCATGAAAAAATGGATTTATTTCAGTAAATCCATTCAAAAAGTGAAACTTTATTATATTCATTACAAACAGACTGATATGTTTCGAATGTTTATTTATTTTAATGTTAATTATAACTGACAACTAATGAAAACCCCAAATTCAATCTCTCAGAAAATGAGAATATTGTGAAAAGGTTCAGTATTGAAGACACCTGGTGCCACACTCTGATCAGCTGATTAACTGAAAACACCTGTAAAGACCTTTAAATGGTCTCAGTCTAGTTCTGTAGCTACACAATCATGGGGAAGACTGCTGACTGACAGTTGTCCAGAAGAAGACCATTGACACCTGCACAAGGAGGGCAAGACACAAAAGGTCATTGCTAAAGAGGCTGGCTGTTCACAGAGCTCTGTGTCCAAGCACGTTAATAGAGAGGCGAAGGGAAGGAAATGATGTGGCAGAAAAAACTGTACAAGCAGTAGGGATAACTGCACCTGGAGAAGATGGTGAAACAAAACCCATTCCAAAATGTGGGGGAGATTCACAAACTGGACTGCAGCTGGAGTCAGTGCTTCAAGAACCACCACGTTCAAACGTATGCAAGACAGGGGTTTCAGCTGTCACATTCCTTGTGTCAAGCCACTCTTGAACAAGAGACGGCGTCAGAAGTGTCTCAAGACAAAAAGGACAGGACTGCTGCTGACTGGTTCAAAGTTATGTTCTATGATGAAAGTACATTTTACATTTCCTTTGGAAATCCAGGTCCCAGAGTCTGGAGGAAGAGGAGAGGCACAGAATCCACGTTCCTTGAGGTCCAGTGTCAAGTTTCCACAGTCAGTGATGGTTTGGGGGTCCATGTCATCTGCTGGTGTTGGTCCACTGTGTTTTCTGTGGTCCAAGGTCATACCATACCATACCAATTTATTTATAGAGCACTTAAAACAGCAACAAGGCCAACCAAAGTGCTGTACAAAAGAAACAAACATGCACAGCAGACAGGAAAACATAAAATAGAGATAGAGATACAAATAGCAGCAGGAGCTAACTAAAAGGTCAATGCAGCATCTACCAGGAAGTTTTAGAGACTTCCTGCTGCTGACCAACTTTATGGAGATGCAGATTTCATTTTCCAACAGGACTTGGCCCCTGCACACAGTGCCAAAGATACCAGTACCTGGTTTAAGGACCATGGTATCCCAGTTCTTAAATGTCCAACAAACTCTCCTGACCTTAACCCCATATAATATCCATGGAGTGAAGAGGAAGATGATGCACCAGAGCCAACAATTGAGAAGAGCTGAAAGCCACGATCAGAACAACCTGGACTCTCAGAACCTGAGCAGACACAAACTGATCCACTCCATGCCACGATGCACTGCTGCAGTAATCCAGACTGAAGGAGCAACAACTAAGTACTGATGCTGAACATGATCATACTTTTCATGTTCGTACTTTTCAGTTGGACAACATTTCTAAAAATCATTTTTTATTGGTCTTAATGTTCTAATTTTCTGAGAAACTGAATTTGGGGTTTTCATTAGTTGTCAGTTATAATCATCAACATTAAAATAAACATTTGAAATATATCAGTCTGTGTGATGAATGAATATAATAATATACAAGTTTCACTTTTTGAATGGAATTATTGATGATGTTCTAATTTTATGACCAGCACCTGTATAATGACATCATAATACATTTATGCATAG